CGATTTTTTATCCCGAATCATTTAGCGTGCGATGAATATTCAAATACTAAAAATTGTGTGTTTTTCTTACATTGTGTTTAGCAAGAGGTGTGATTGTTTTTTCCTTTCAAAACTGTGATTAATATATTTAGTTAATTTTACAACCGTTTTGTAGTTAATAGAGACTCAGACAGAATTCATTTCACATCTCGTGTAAAAGTTATCGTCCTTTGTTCGATAAGAACAAGGAACAGTAACACCCTCATACGGTGTGACGGAGTTGTGTTGCTTGGCGTGCCTTAACTCTATCTTTCTCGAAGGAATCCACCTGACGAGACTCTTGAGAAAGGTCGAAACCAGCCGTGGTATCTTCGTTTGATTCTTTCAGAAATGAATTCTGTCTGAGTCTCTAATAACTACAAAGCGGTTGTAAAATTAACTAAATATAATTATTCAAGTCAAGTTTCACATTTCTATGTGATCAATATAAATGTTGATGAAAATAACTTTCACCACGGTCGATGTTCAATGCTTTTAAATGTTGATTACTTCTGTCCATTTATAATAAAATATAAGACCCATGTGTGTTTCTGAATAATTTTTCGAAGAAGATATGGAGAACTTGCGGTTTTCGCCAATCGAAAGAGGAGAGTTGGGAGCATGTTCTCATAAGCATAAATCGTTCCAGAAGAGTTTCTTAAAATAGATTTCTAGGAGTTCATCCTAAATACAGTGCGTTTTAAAACTCATGAATGACTGTTTTCTTGTGTAAATCTTTTCTTTTGAATTTTCAAGTAGTCTGTTGTTTAATGGTCGTACGACGCCGAATAGATAAACCGTATTTTAATTTATTTTTAAATGATGACTGGAAATTTATGGGAGTAATTAATTTAAAAGAGGTAAATATCTTTGCAACTAGACAGGCTAACAAAACCAAATTTAAAGTGTAATCTACTTCTGACACAGAGTATATCGAGAAAATATCAGCTCTCAAAACCGAACTGTTTAAAAGCGACTTTGCTATTGATTCATAGTAATTCTTTTGCCCTTCAAATATGGAAATGACGCCGTCATCAGTGATTCTAATAGATGAAAGTTAAATAAATTAATTTCATAATAAATAAGACTATGTTCAATACCTTGTAATGCTGTCTTTGATGAGGACGGGGACGCTCTCGATACGAAAGTGTTAAAAAAATTAAATTGCAATTATCTTTATTTAGTAATAATAAAACAAAGTTTTGTGTAGAGTAGGATGCGAAGAGAAATGAATTACGATGATATTTCGGTACTCCGGACATTTTTTAACCAAAACTTTTTTCGTGGATCGAGGAGAAGGGGATTCTGTACAAGACTGACACTCCAAGGGCGAATAAAAAAAAGAGGAAGCAACTTTTTCGAATCTTCATGTCGCACGGGTGCTGTTTTACAACGTCCCGCAGACGCAGTAAACGAAGGCACATGGCTAAATAGATCGATATGCGCTGCACGCAAACAAATGTACACGGCGGAAAAAAGTAGGATGAAGAGTGTACGGAGACGTCGGAATTACCGTGTGAAAAACAGAAGAAAGGGATCATGGTATTAAAAAGAGTTGAAGTTCTTAACAAGGTATTACAAAAGGTAAATGAAACCGATAAGATGATTAAATATTCCTACAGCTTTTTAGTAGAAGTGGGAAGAAGACTATGCAGCATCCAAGCAGGAGGAAAGAGAAAACGACGCCTTTTGCGTATCTTTTATGAGAAATAACAGCACGTTATATGGTTCTTATCAAACATGTGTAGTTGCAAGTGAAGTCACGAGTTTATTAGGGGTAGAGATAAAGATCGGCGCAGTTTCATACTGTAAAATAAAGTAGCGAAGGAAGTTACACACTGGTGACTTTTGTTCCTGTACATGTCTAGTTTCTGGATCTTTTTCTGCCTAGCCAAATAAACACTAACCTGAACAGGAAAATAAGAAGAGTGCACAAACAGTTCGACTGCTGTCATTCACTGACTCCTCTTGTTTCCCTATATTTATAAAGAGGAAAGAACTAAAAGGGGAATTTCCCACTTGACAAAGCCGTAATTGCAAAACGTTACTGCAAGAGAAGAATAACAGATAAGAGATTCTTTCCATCTTCTTTCTCTTATCTATTATTCTTCTCTTGCAGTAACGTTTTGCAATTACGGCTTTGTCAAGTGGGAAATTCCCCTTTTAGTTCTTTCCTCTTTATAAATATACGTTTTTTGCTTCATCTGAACAGTCTCCTTTAAACATGCTTTAAAAAATAAGAGCCACCGTAACGTCTGGCCGCTCTCCTATTACATTTTTTCCGTGTGTACTTTCTTCTTTCAGATCTAATCTAAATTCAGCGTTCTAGATCAATGTCTACACCGCCGACCCTAAAGGAGGCTCTCAAATGGATTGTCGATGGAACTCAGGGCGTATCAAAAGCCCTCACGGACATATTTCATGAATTCAAATCAGCAATGAACGAGCTAATGCCAAAACTCAACAAAGACGAACAAGAGCGAGTCCATGATGCTTTTGGCCGATACAATAGCTTTCTAATGAAGACCCAAGAATTCGTTAGCTATACGTTGATGGGCGTCAGGTATGCTCAGACCATCGTTCATCTGATCGAAGCCGTTCCTACCAGAATACTAACGGAATTGATCGACGAAGTACAGGTTCTGTTGAAAAGGTTTGACGAGCTACAGAGCATTGTCAACAGAAAAGTGCAAGACGAAAGTAGTCTCCGCTCCTTCAAGAAGATTATGTTGTGTGAGTATTTCTTTCCGTTTTCGACCACCTTTTTTTACATATAATGTTGGCAGGTGTGTGTGGAATTGGCGCAGCAGTCGCTCTCATCGCGACTGGCGTCGGCGCAGCAGCGGGTTTTGGTGTGGCGGTTAAGACAGTAGCCGTTGTTGGCGCAACAACTGCTGTCGTCGGCGGTGCTGGAGCCGCAATTGCACATGCGAGCGAGAAAGTCACTGACTTTGGCAAAGTGATGGAGAACTTGAAAGAGATGCGAAAGTGTTTGGTGGCAATCGAACAACAGCAGGCTGTTGTCAAGGGCAAACATGGATGGTTAAGCGCTGCCGGCGAGCGTGATCCTGAACAAGAAAAAAGGATCGTCAGCGACATGAAGGCGGAATTCACCGATGCTCTGAATAAGACACAAGTTGAAGTGGACAAAGGCTTTAACATCATCAAGTTCTAATCCTTACATCGAAAGAGTCCGATATTTCCG